AAAAATATTCATCAAAATCGGGCAGTTATCTTTTGCAAGAATGTGTAAATCAATGTGTTTTTCACCGCAAAAAGACAATAACGTTCGTATATTTATTTATCATCCCCCCCCTGACGCAAGAAAGAAATTTTTTCAAGGTTCTAAAAAGATGTAAAAATTATAAGTTAATAATAAAATAAAGTCTTTGTCTTATGATTCTTTCTATTTTTTGTCTATTTTCTCAATTAGTTTACTTTTCCTATGGAGATTCTTTGTCCCTATAAATTATATGGATGACTACAGTGTTACCGCATCTGACCCTTTCGTACAGTTGAGCAAATAGGCACAAATAGATATCAAATATCTACTATTCATCTATTGTGTTGGGTTGGCCAAAAACTTCGTTCACTTTATTAAGCGTGAACCTTTCATAAAAACAAAACGATCTTAAGATAAATTTCTTCACTGTTCCATTCCTTCTGTCATACATTATTTATTTATGTTATATTAACTTTTTTTTACATTATATTTTCTTGATATGTTCATATTTGTTGGTAACTTTTAATCATTTCTCTAGTCTTTTATTTTTTTAATTCGATATCACGACTTCATCATTACATTTTTCCCTTCTATCGAGTTGTATGAAATCTTCTCTCACGTCGGCCATTGGAAAAGCTTTTTTTTCATCCTTCCTTTCTTTCATTTTTCTTTCGTTCAGTTTCTTTGTTATTCCATAGATCACCGACACACACTTCATTTGTGTATCGTACATCGTATTGCAAACCATACCATTCCTTCATTCTTTTGCTGGTCTATTTTCATTAATTAATAAAATCGTTTCCCCAGTATGATTGTCATTGACGTCATCATGAACCACACTTGCATGCAAGAAAAAAAAAACGAAAAGCCATTAACAAAACCACCGTTACGTATCCGTCTTCAACATATATATATATATATATATATATATATATATATATATATATATATATATGCCTAAATGAATTAAGATTCGTGCGCGTTCTCTCTCTCTCTTTCACACACACACACACACACACATATATATATTCTATATATATCATATGCGCGGTACTTATTGGAAAGTGCTCAATATCTTTGATAGAGATAACATATTCATTGGTATAGATATGAGTTTTTGACCCTCTTATCTGATGATCGCAAAATCGTGAAACCCAGAGTCACAAACTCATGTCCATACAACTGAATATATATATATATATATATATATATATATATATATATATATATATATATATATATATATATATGTGTGTGTGTGTGTTATTACGTATATATATATATATATACACATATATATACGTACACACACACACACACACACACACATATATATATATATATATATATATATATATATATATATATATATATATATATATATATATATAATTATGTAAACGTTATTTTCATTGGATATCTCATATTTAAGTAGACGATCCGTTTATTTATTAAACATTAAATTTATTTTCGTCTACTGGCCTGAATATTTAAGATCCTTGATTATATATCAATATAAAATTTCTCAATATCCTTATTAGAGAAAACAAAAGTGTCCATATTTTTTTCCAATAAGATTTATCTGCTATTCAGGCTGGTAGACGAAAAAAAAAAAATACTGTTTGAGTAATCAACGGAACGTCGACTAAAATACACTGCATCCTCTAAAAATTACATTGAAGTAACAAAAAATCTGACGGATTAATAAATAATAAGATCCATACCACTTTCTTAATAAAAAGAAAAAGAGCTCACTGTCAAGGATCGAACCTGTGCCCTTACTTTGAAGGAGGAAACACTGTGTGATTCGGCGTGTTTTACCATCGGGAAATCTTTTTATTCGTTAATATGTACGCAGATATATCAGTAAGTACACAACCGAATTAGTCTTATTTCTTATGACAGTTTTTTTTTTAACATAATTCCCATTCTCTTGAATGTAGTCAATTAGTTATTGACCTTTTATCCCACAGACCGAAGACCACATAGTGAACATGTCAGATCTACATTCTGTTTGAGGCTATGGATTCTTGATAGGCCGACGCATATAGACCCATATTCGTATCTAAGTAGTAATAACGAACTAGAGAATATTCTGAAAGAAATTTTATCGTGGAAAAGATAAAAGAGACTGCAATAATTCGTAAAACAGAGCACTCAACTGTTACATGATATCAATCCTCCTGTATTGCAGAAAATGTTGGACAAATTTCCTCAAAGATGAAGAAGAGATTTGAAGTAACAGAAAACTAGTTCTACAAAGTGTACACGTCACATAAAACATGATTGCAGCAAATCTTCAGATGCAATTTATGTTAGATACGTTGTGGGTTGATGTCTTGTGCTGGGTGGGATGTGACTGTAGGTAAGGAAAAAAAGCAAAATAGTGAATGTTTATGCCAAATGTACTGGAATAAATATAATATATATCAATTCTTCAAACGTCATGTTCACTTACATGACAGTATTTTTGGGGGGTTTCGTTAGAAACAAAAGAAAAACAGCGTACTCAACTATTACGTGATAATAATCCTCCTGTGGGGCAGCGAATGCTGGACAATCTCCTCAAAGATGAAGAAAAGATTTGAATCATCAGAAAACTAGTTCTACAGAATGGATACGGTGCGTAAACGAAGATTGCAGCAAATCTGCGATTTCTTCAGATTTGGTTTGCGTTGATGTTTTGTGCAGGGTAAGATGTCACTGTAGGTAAAGAAAAGAATCCCGAAAATTTATGCCAAATATAATGAAATAAATATAAAATAGATCAATTTATCAAACGTCATTTTCACTTATATGAGAGTATTCTTTGTGTGTTTTTAGGACATTTTCATTTCTCTTGAATGCAGTTAATACGTCATTGACCTTTTATCCCACATACCAAAGATCATATAGCGAACATTACAGATCTACATTCTGTCTTAGGCTATGGAATTCCTGAATTGTCCATGCATATAAACCTAAATTCGTATCTAAGTAGAAGCAATAATGAAGTACAGAATATACAGAATGACATTTTGTCGTGAATAAGAGACAGAAATAATTCGTTAGAAACAAAAACAGAGTACTCAACTGTTACGTGATAATAATCCTCCTGCGTTGCAGAAAATGCTGGACATTCTCCTCAAAGATGAAAAAAAAGATTTGAAGCAACAGAAAGCTAGTTCTACAGAATGGACACGGCGCGTAAAAGAAGATTGCTGCAAATCTTCTGCGATTTGGTCAGATTTAGTTTGCGTTGATGTTTTGTGCAGGGTAAGATGTCCCTGTAGGTAACGAAAAAAATCTCGAAATTTTATGCCAAATATAATGGAATAAATATAAAATATATCAATTCTTCAAATATCCTGTTCACTTACATGACAGTTATTTTTTGTGTTTTTAATACGTTTTCCTTTCTCTTGAATGCAGTTAATGGAACATTTATCCCACAAACCGAAGAGCATGTAGCGATTATTTCAGATCTACATTCTGTTTGAGGCTATGGACTTCTTGATAGGTCTACGCATATAGACCTAAATTTGCATCTGAATAGAAGCAATAGCGAAATAGAGAATATTCAGAATGACATTTTTTACGCAGAATAGACAGAAATATTTCCTTTAACACATTTTCCTTTCACTTAAATTCAGTTAATGCGTTATTGGCCATTTATCACACAGACCGAAGATCATGTAGCGAACATTACAGCTCACCATTTCGTCTCAGGCTATCTACTTCTTGATATGCTCACGCGTATAGACCTATATTTGCATCCGAGTACAAGCAATCGTAATGAAATAGAGATTTTAGAAAGACATTTTCTAGCGTTTGCTATCGCATCAATTCTTCTGTTGAGAATTAGGTCAGATTAGTCGAGGGGTGATGGTTTGTGCAGGGCGAAATGTGACTCTACGAAAAGAGAAATAATACGTTTTATGCCATGTATACTGGAAAATTGTAAAATATATAAATTCTTTAAACGTCGAGTTCGCGTACGAAGGTCATCAACATGACATATTCATACAGTTTTTTTTTTAACTTTCTTTTGTGCGAAGGTAGCCATGACGAATAGTACAACTCAGAAAGGAAGTTGGTTATATTCGTTTATGCTTCTTTAGTTTTCAACTGGCATGGAATGATGAATGGACATTTTAGATTGGGAATCATTTTATACGGAAACATTAGAACCAAGACAAGTGCAAGCCGCCTTATTGAAAGAAGTGAAATAACCTTTGTATATTTCAGTCTTACAGGGAAACATCAGTCATGAACAGAAAATTGAATATTTGTTTGCATCTGTCTATCAAGAATTTTAACTCTTTTTTTTTCTTTTCGTCAGTCTTAATCTCCTTAAATCCAACTGTTAAGAAGAATTTAGAGTTCTGTATTTCTGGATGCTCGTCTCCATAAGCATTCTTCATTTTTTTAATTCCCTTTTTTTCTTTTATTTTCAGTATTTCATCCAGTTCTTTATTTTAACTTTTTCCTTCTTGCTTTGTTTGTTTGTTTGTTTGTTTGTTTGTTTGTTTGTTTCTTACTTCTTTTTTTCTTTCTTTTATTTTTCTAGTTTTTTTCGTTTCAAGCATTTTTCCCTTTTATTTTTCTTTCTTTTATTTTTCTTTCTGTATTTTTTCTAGTTTGCTTGCTTTCAAACATTTTTTCTTTCAATCATATTCTTTCTTTTTTAATGTTATGGAGTGGTTTCACAGTGGAGGCTTGTAGTTGTACTAAGTCGGTCCTAAAATAGGTTCGACGTACAAAACGTTAGAAACTTGATATAATAGTTAATGACGCAGCAATCTAGTTGTGGTGGCTGATAATTTAGTATCCGACTAACGGTCGTCCGACATCGACTGACTGAACAACTCACTGCCGACGCAGCGACTGCTGCTACTACTCCTACTTATTATAGGTGAGAGAGTCTATTAACTAAAGAATAGGTGTGTTCCAGTATAACACATTCTTTCCTTTTCTTTCATAATTTCATTCTTTCTTTCTTGATGCATTTTCCTTTTTATATCTTTCTTTCTTTCTCCCATCACGGATGTTCATTCTTTTCTCTCTTTGTTTCTTACGTTCGTGAATTTTTTCAAGCATTTTCTTTTTTCTTTCAAGCATTTTTCTTGCCTACTGTTTTATTTCTTTCTCATTCTTTCTGGTTTCATGCATTTTTCCTTCATTCTTTCTTTCTATCTTTTTTGCTGACTACAGAGATGTTCTTTATTTCAATCATTTTTCTTTCTTTCTTGCGTTCGAAACATTGTCTTTCTTTCAAGCAACTGTATTTATGTCCTTTTTGGTAGCCTCCTTTTATCACGGATTTTTCTTCAAATAGATTTCTTTCTTTGAAATATTTTCTTTTTTAGTAAGAATTTTTCTTTCCTTCTCTATTTTTATTTCTTACTTTCTGGCTTCAAGGAGGAATTTTTTCCTTCTTTTTTCTTTCTTTCTTGCGTTGAAGAATTTCTCTTGCTTTCTTTCAGGTATTTTTCGTTCTTTCTTTCAAACATTTTCTTTTTTCTCTCAAAAATCTTTCTTTCCGTCATTTTGGTTTGTTTCAGTTATTTGCTTTCTTTCAATATTTTTCATTCTTTTTTTTTTCTGGCTTTAAGAATTTATCCTTCTTCTTTCTACTCATTCTTTCCTTCCGGCTTCAAGGATATTCTTTCTTTCTTGCGTTGAAGAAATTTCTTTCTTTCTTTCTTTCTTTCTTTCTTTCTTTCTTTCTTTCTTTCATCTTGCATTTTTCTTTCAAGCATTCTTCTTTCTTGCAAGTATTTTCTTTTTGCCTTTCAAGTACAGAAACACCTCTCATCTACGGACCCCTCTCCCCATCAACGTTCTTCAGATGCAACGGACAAAATATGCAGGCAAAAAAAAAATCTACAAGAAAAAAAAAATCCAAATCGTCAGCGATGTATTTCAAAATTTACGCGCTTAGCTGAACGAGTCGTATTAGTTCTCAAAACGATCGCTTGGTGGCGGGCTTTTCATTTGTAAACAAAGATGTGTGTACAGTCTATAAAGCACGATGCATTAACGCGTTCTTGAGAAAATAGTTATGAGAAATTATTATTTTGTATCGATTAATATGTCTCTATTATTTATATATATATTTATACCATATATACATGTTGATAGTATTTACATTATGATCATAACTACTGGTAGTTAATATAGCGGTTTTATAAATCATAAATAATCCCTTCCCATCTACGGACAGTCATCTTTAATGAACCACCACCTTCCCCCTATTAGTTAGTTGATGAGAGGTTTGTCGGTATCTCTCTTTCCTTATTTTTGTCGTTCTTTCTTTCTCGCTTGATTTCCAGCATTTTTCTTTCTTTTTCAAATATTTTCTTTCTTCTTTTCAAATATTTTCTTTCTTATTTTCAAGTATTTTCTATCTTTCGTTTTTTTCTTAATTCATCTTTGCTGTCTTGCTTTCAAACATTTTTATTTGTTTCACGTACTTTCCTTTCTTTCCTGTTTTCATTTCTCCTTTCTTTTTTGCATGCATTTCCACTTCCCTCCCTCCTTCCACCCTTTATTTATTCACTTAATTATAATAATAACCTGCAAAAATTCGATCTGTCTGTCTATTGATCTGTCTGCCTGTCTATGCATTTCATAAAATAAAAGGAGAAATGGCGCAGCCACACGAATCCGAAGCTGCCAGCAAATTGGCTAGCTAATTAATATTGCTGAGCCCACCTGTGATGTATACCGCAACTATGCTGAGCGGAAAGGTCGCTTCAACCGTATGAACAAGCCAATGACGCACAAACTGTCGGTCACTATGGCTTTTTATCTCGTGCTAGCACAACCACTGAAGGCTCCCAATTTCACTCACAAGACTTAAGTCAACCCGTGCTATGATTTTTAGGCCCTTTCCAAACATGCCGCACGAAGGGATAGCCTCCTCCTGATCGACCATTTTGAGATTCAAACCCTTGTCCCATGTTCGGAAAGCGAACGTTCTTACCACTCTGCCATGTGCCCGTGTATTTGAGTATATTCCTTCTATCTATCTATCTATCTATCTATCTATCTATCTATCTCAGTGTTATACCTATTCTATTGTTAATAGACTCTCACACATATAATAAGTAGTAGCAGTCGCCAGGGTGCTCAGTGAGTTGTGTGAGTCAGTCGATGTCGGACATTAAAGTTTCAGCCACCACAACTAGATTGCTGCGTCATTAAATATTATTTCAGGTCCCTAACGTTTTGTACGTCGAACCTTTTTAGGACCGACTTAGTGAAATACAAGCCTCCACTGTGAAACCACTCTACAACACTTGACGACTACGATTCGAAACTCATACGGAGAAGACAAAAAAAATATATATTCGTTCGCCATAAACAACTTCGGCGACCAGGATTCGTTGTTATACGAAAAAAAATCGTTCACTCTATAACACTTTGGCGATGAGGGATTCGGATTCATACGGAGGAAGAAAAACATTTTCGTACTTTATAACACTCAGTATTTTCCTTCTATCCATCAATCTATATTTCTATTTCAGTATATTCCTTCAATCTATCTTTCTATTTCAGTATATTCCCCCATTTAGCTATCTATCTATCTATCTCACTCACTCACTCACTCACTCAATTAGTATTTTCCTTCTATCTATCTATCTCACTCGCTCGCTCACTCAGTATTTTCCTTCTATCCATCAATCTCTATTTGTATTTCAGTATATTCTATCTATCTATCTATCTATCTATCTATCTATTGCTTTCTCACTTACTTCCTATTTTCGGTCGAGTCAGCTGACTATCAGGAAGATTTTTTTTCATAATCACTGCAAATAGGAATGCTGTATAATGTGTGGGAAATGACTTTTCCAGGTAGGTGGTGTTTGTGAGGATTTTGCGGCCTACTCTACTGTAGATTAAATGAAGGGTTCAGTTCAGAATTCCCTGTAGAGTACCCGGATCGATAAACACCTGATGAAGTCCAGTGAGTACATCGGCCAAAACGCTGTGAGAAAAAAAACGAAGCTGAGGATAATAATCTGGATTTAAATAGTGTAAATAATGATAATTCCTCATCCAAGAAGTTCAGACAGGGACAAAAAAAAAAGAAGATATTTCATATTAGGAAGGAAATAGTTAATAAATTCGCTGAAGTTAATGTTGCTTTTGTTGTCTTCGTTCAAATACTTTCGAATGTCAGTCATTATCAAGAACTGTGTGATATCAGTGATGTATGTAAGATTTACATTGGTTCACTGTAAGTTTGAATACATTGAAAAATTTCGGTTGACTTCATTAACATTTATTTTTATCCCCACACACACATATAAAGTGAAGATTATTATATATATATATATATATATATATATATATATATATATATATATATATATACCCAAGTATATAATTGGTATATACGGATTCCAATAACTAACAATAGACTTTAGAATAAAAAATATATATACATGTATTGTCAAATGACCGGATATATTGTAGCGTCTTGTCGAACGTAATTTCAACGAAGAAATAAATTGAATAACACATGTATTTTTTCTTTTCTCAATAATTTTGTAGTTTTTAAACTTAATAGTGATTAAATTTGGATTTTAAAATTGCCAGTTTTTAATTTTAATAGTAATTTATCATATAATTTTATAATTATTGGTTAGTATAAATTATTTTTAATATTACTCGTATTTTAAAGATCTGAATAGCTATTATAACATGATTTCGTTGTCAAGCTTTTAAATCTTTCTATACTTGGTTTTTGATTGGTTATTCTAACTTTTGTAACAATGTTTCCCCCTAGTGTAGGATCGTTAATTAATCTGAAACTTTTAAAACCATTTATTTTATCTTCAACATCATCACTTGATAAGACACTGAGGGTGTTGAAACGAAATGGCTATTTTTGTAGTGATTTTATAACATACTTACGTTTTAATTTTTTTATAAATAATATATATATATATATATATATATATATATATATATATATATATATATATATATATATTGTCATTTGTTTATATTCGTAAAAACAATAAGCTAAATTTTACACGATTCCAACTGTCAAATGAAGATATTTCAGTGGCTGGAACTCTGACTTACACCAAATCAGTTAGGTTTCAATCAAGCCTGGAGGCATTCGGATGTTTATATATATATATATATATATATATATATATATATATATATATATATATATATTTATATATATATATATATATATATATATATATATATATATGTGTCTATAATATTAATATATATATATATATATATATATATATATATATTCATTCATTGGTTGTGCAAAAACCTTCACCATTATAATCAAATCTCATGTGACGGTGTTGGGCTGTCGGTTTCCTCGTAACTGATCTGCTTGACCCTCATACGTCGAATTCGACGGGAGAGTCGAGTAAATATATATATATATATATATATATATATATATGTGTGTGTGTGTGTGTGTGTGTGTGTGATAACGATAAACACGTGCATATAAGACGCTAGAAGCGAAAATCGTACTGCATCTCATGACGTCACACATGACCACGCGATAGTCAATTGGAGAAGTATGAAGTCTGTCCGTATATTGCTTAATATGTTGTAACTGACAACTTTGATAATGGCTTATGTAAGCCGAAAACTTAGATTGTATTAAAAAATATTGCTCAATATTGTGAATTTCTTTCTTCGTTCAATGATAATGTTATTAAACTTATTAGACGTTATGAAAAGAATTTACATAAAATAAATAGACAACACTTGTCTATATTATTTAATGAAACGTATATGAATGAAAAGATGCTGCCTAAATACACACACACACAATATATGAGTGTGTGTGTATCTTTGAAAGGGGTTCAAATCGTGTTGTTTTTAAATAGTAAGTGCTACTTATAATACGAACCTATTTCTTTGTTCGAAACCACTTATAAAAATCTGAAATGCTATCGGCTAATTAAGACACACAGACACGCATATGTATTTGAAGAAAATATGGCCAGGCATTTCGGAACAAGACAAAGCTCTCAGGAGACGAATATGCAAACGCATTTAAGGCTTTCAGTATAACATTGGCTGAACATTCTCCCCGAATAGAGACAACTGCAAATCGGAGAGTTTTATCGATTCACTGGAAACGAATTCCTGAAAAGCACTCCTCGACTGAGTCTTGTATTGATAATGCCAAACAAAGAAAAAATGGATTTTGCTTAAAAATATGTTACCTTATACATAGCTGTTACTTTTCTCTCTCTTCGCAATAGCAATTTTCTGGCACGAAAAGCAAAGTTAATCTTTGGTGATTGTTATGGGACCTTACCCATAATAACATAATGGACTGTTCCATACGTAATAAATACTGCGCCTCAAGAGGAAGCGGGAAGTTCAGTCCGAAGTCGGGCAACCGGCTGATCGGTTGAACTCTCTGTCTTCGGGCGGGGAGGAACCCTAACGAGGCTACGCCGAAGGGCGGAGTCTCTTTCGGGGAGGTGAACCGACCCTGAACCCGTTTATATCGGTTCAAAGGGCATATTTTTGGCCGAGCCCACGGGCTCGGAGATCCCACGTTAAACCGGCCTTGTGCCACATGATGCCCACGTGGTGGTGGTGGGTGACTAAATACCGTTCAGTCCGAAGTCGGGCGACCGGCTGACCGGCTGAAATTTAAACTCTCTGCCTTCGTGCGGGGACAAAACCGAAACGGGCTACCCCGAAGGGCGGAGTCTCTTTCGGGAGGTAAAACCCTGAACCCGTTTATATCGGTTTTGGATATATATAATATATATACGGCCTCGGAGATCCCACGTTAAACTTTTTTTGTTACATTGATGCCCACGTGGTGGTGGGGGGGTGACTAAATACCGTTCAGTCCGAAGTCGGGCGACCGGCTGACCGGCTGATTGGTTAAACTCTCTGCCTTCGTGCGGGGAGGAACCCTAACGAAGCTACCCCGAAGGGCGGAGTCTCTTTCGGGGAGGTAAACCGACCCTGAACCCGTTTATACGGGTTCAAAGGGCATATTTTTGGCCGAGTCCACGGGGTCGGAGATCCCACGATAAACGGGCTTTGTGCCACATGATACCCTCGTGGCGGGTGACTAAATACTGTTCAGTCTGAAGTCTGGAGTGAGGGCCGTCAGAAGTCCGTCAGGAGTCTGTCAGTCAGTCAGACCGAGTCAGTCAGTCGAGTCAAAAGTCGAGTCAGAGGCAGTCCAAAAACAGAGTCGCGTTCAGACAATTACTACTAAACCTGATTGTTCGTACTAACACTTTCTACTTCTCTGTATATATTCCTGTTTGTAATATATCTGTGTTATTCCATATCCGTGTTCGAGTTCTTCTTTATTGGTTCTACTTTGGACCATCACCGTGGTACAAGGACCTGGACCATAACAGTTATTTAAATCTTTGGGAATGGTTACTGAGTGTTAATTTTGTTATCTTATTTAAAAATTGAAATAATTTAATATTGGGTTCATTTAAGCAGTAATTCTTAATTTATACATATTTGGTTAACGACCATCGAATTTCCGCTGAAAATATAAATAGAGATTATCAAATAACTGAATACTTTCAGAATTTATATGTTTTTGTTTTGTTTATAAATTTGCAGATATGTAATTTTCAAAAATCGGTTCGTTTTTCTTTAAGCTTCGCCTCTTGAACTTCAATCCTTTTTGTTCTCTCTGTTTTGCGGAATTATGAAATATAATGAACAGGAATACTGTTGTCATATTTTGGGCGGTAGCTGCACAAACCTCACTTTCCAGTCTTGATAGAGTATAAAAAGCGTATTTGAATCCTTGTGGGTAACGAATTCACTAATTCACTTTACAGACACACACACACACACACACACACACACACACACACACACACACACACACACACACGGGATGTGGCGAATCTCTCTCTACCCTATCGCTTCTTCCTTACAAAGTGCTCGGACAAACTACATTCCTTTGTTTCACCGTCACAGCTAGGACCCTCCATACCACTTACATTGTATCAAATCAGCCACATTCTCCCCGAATTCCATCAGTGAGAAGTTCCACTCGAACAGCTTCTTCAAGCGAACCAGTGTCGCGGGAACCGACTCCCAGGATGATCATTACAATCTTAACCTGAGTTAATTGTTATCTTCCCCTGCTTCCTATATCCCTTAACGTAACCCTTTACATCAAATGGCCCCTGGTGCAGGGTGAATTTTTTTGTAAAAATATGTATGTTCCTAAAATTCTATCAGACTTAGAAAAAAGTCATAGTAAATATATTTCATAAACAAAGACAGGAAAACACGAATTGAAACTTAAAGATAGTGAATAAATGTGATATTGAAACCGTCCATAATTGCGTTTATTTAAAATAAAAAATAAAAAAAATAAAAGATATATAATTATTATGTTAGAATCTAATGTTATTCCTGAATTAAAGTCTTTAAAAAAATGTTTAATTCAGTCGAAATAGGAATCTTGAACACCTGTACATTTTCGTATTCGAATTAGAAGATTATATATTTACGATAAAATTCTCTAGCCTTGAACGACAATAAATCTTGTAGTTTCTGCATTTTTTTTTTTAACATAATGTCTATTGGCTTAAATAATTGTCAAACTGCATGAAAAAATGATAGACAGTACATGGTAGATCAGTGGAATAATTTCGTCTTCCAAGTCGGTAATCTTTTATAGTGTAATCCTGGCAAAATGTGGCCAATCATTGACATAATTTATAGTGTAATCCTAGCAAAATGTGATTAAACATTGACATAATTTACAGTGTAATC